GGGGGTATTACACCGTCTGGGGGAAACTTGGGGTTCAGTCTTCACTGCAGGTACCCCAGTACTTTAGAAGATATTTCTTGCTGAATTGAAGCCCTCATGTCTTTGCTGGCTTTTAAAGGCTTCAAAATAGACTGTTTCACATAGTCTTTTAATAACCATTTCATTTTAAAATTTTGAACCCAACCTTTAATTAATGGTTCAGTGGCTACATTCACTCAACATTCCTAACTGAATTAACATATTTTCTGGGTTCACACAACATGTTGAGTCCTAAAACTGCTCAAGCAGGCTGTGTTCATCTAATTCATTAAATTATGCATCTAACCAAGCTTAAAATAACGCAGCTTAGCATGTGATTGATCGTGTGCCATCAAGTCGGTGTCAGCTCTTAGCGAACACACTATCCTGGCTAGACATAACGTGTGAACACAGAAAGCCAGCGGCTGTGCGCCCGGACTGCAGTGGAGCAGCCCTCCTCTTCCTGGCCCACCCCGCAGGACTCACTCACTCACTCACTCGGGGCCCTGCTCGCCCCCAGCCCCCCCCCCTGCCAAGAAGGCTCAGCTCCTCCCTTTTCCCCCGGGGGCGAAGCAAAGAAAAGTCCACAGCACCCCACCACAATTAACAGCGGTGCCCAGAGAAAATGGGGAGCGGCTTCCAGCTCCTGCCCCTTTCTCACCTTCCCTGCGTGCCCACAGAAGGTGTGAAAACCTGGAAGGGCAGCAGAGGTGGAGCTCCCAGGAGAGCCATATTTTGGCAGGGCTCTCTTGGACTTTGGCTCCGTCTTGGCAGCAGGAAGGGGCAGCTGATCACCCGGCGGGTGGTTTGCAGGGCAGCTGGTGGTGGTGGGTGACTCAAACTACTTCCCCGGGTCAGTTGCCTGGCTCAGGATGCTTCCGTAAGCCGCTAGTAAGCTCTTGTGCAAGTGGAATCAGGGTGCTGGGCGAACCAGCGGGTCAGCGAGCCATGGGTTAGCGGCTCCTACAGACAGGCAGAGACGGCCAACTCTCTTCCTGCCTTCAGGCAGCACCTGAGCACCTCCCCTTGCACCTGAATCCCATCTCTGCGCAAAGGCAGCTGGCCCGCCCCAGCTGTGGACCTTTAAGGGCCTGGCGGCAGGCCCAGTGCTCTTTTCCACTTTGCCTGAGATGGAGTCTCCTGGGGGCTTGGAGGGCCAGGTCTCTGCCCTGCAGGGCACCCTCCGCCTGCTGGTGGGGCTGCTGGTGCCCTGCCTGCTGCTGCTCTCCCTCCTCAGCACTTTGCTCCTGGTGCGCTGGAGGCTGTGTCGAAGGGTTGGGGACCAGAGGGCCCTGCAGTGCCCCCCAACTTCCCCCGGGCTCTTCCGGTTGGCCCCAAAGGGTGCTGTGCTCGGGCATGATCCTGGGAGCGGGACAGCTCAGCGGCAGCCCCTGCAGCCTGGGGGTGCAGCCGAGAGAGTTTTTGCTGGCCCGCCGGCCCCATGCTGCAGCCAGAGGGCCGCCCTCTCCTATGTCCCCAGAGCCAGCCCTCGCTTCTTCAGGCAAGACAGAGGGGCAGTGCTGGGAACGGGCTCCTCCTCCACCGACTTAGAAAAGCACCCTGCCTTGGTTCCCCCTAACTCTCCCGTTACCACCTCAGGCACCGGGGTAAGTTGTGGGGGTGCAGGAGCATTTCCTGGGGGGGGGGCTTTCTTCCTGTAGCCTTTCCCTGCTCCTCTTCCTGGCTCCTTTCAGATTTAATGGGCCACAACTTCCCAGCCAGTCTTCAGCCATGCCACGCTTGGGGAGCGAACCCTCCCACTTCAGTTACCCCCTCCCTTCCCACCTTTCAGCAAGGCTTTTGCAGTGTGGCTTGGAAAGGAGTCATTTACACATTAGGAGCCCAACCCGCTGAAGTGAGACATCTCTGAGGGGTAATAGGCTAACCTAGCCAGAAGCATTTAACCCCCTGCAAAATGCTGTTCCACCTCCCTCTGTGGAGGCGAGACAGGCATGCTTGGGACAGTGAACAGGAAGGTAAAGACGGAAAACGTCGCCCCGCTGGATGGGGGCAGTTGGTTAACTTTTCCAGGAGTGGCCCTTTGGCCCATTTCCATCTATTCCTGACCAAAGGGGGTGAACCAAGGCATCTCGGAGAGAGGGAACAGGCTCCCAGGAGGATCCACAGCAACTTTCTCCCTTGCGCTGCAGGGCGTCCTGGAGAGAGTCTTCTCTGGGTGCCACACCAGCACCCAGAAGAGGCCTCGTAGCTGCAGCAGGTTGGCATCGGCCATCCGTTCAAGCACAGGGCCTTTTGAGTTTGGCAGCAGCATCCGACCCGGGGACAAGAGGACTCACCTCAACTCTGCCAACTTCACGGCTTCCCAAGGGCCTGGCCTTGACTCGGACTTTGGAGCCAGCGCTGGTGAGTGATGGCCAAGAGGCTGAAATGATGAGCTGCTCGTGGTGGGTTGGAGCTCTTGGCCCAAGGCACCTCTGTGCCTCAAAGGCCGCAGATGAGTTGGAAAGGAATCTGAGGGGGGCCTGGAAAGTCACCCGTCTTGCCTAGAGGGTCCCCCTGGAGAAGATGGCTGTGTTGAGCCAGGGGTGGCTGAGTTTCCCCTTCTCCAAAGAACAGGCGAGGAATTAATGGACTCTGGAGGACAGGGAGGGGGAAAGAAAGAACCTTCTGAGCTACAAGAGCAGCACAGCAACAAGCTGATCCAAGGGCTGTGGAACTCTTCACAGCTCACGCAGGTGGCAACAAGCAGCAGATGCCTCTTCAGCCTTGATCTTCTTCCCCCAGGAGCAATATATACAGGCAGGGGCTTCCCTCGCCTTCAACAGCAGACTTCAAAGGGCCTGAGCACCCTGGAGCCCTGCCCAATTCCATACTTCAGTTCATTCCCTGGCTTGGCTGCTTCTGGGGCCAGAAAGTCCTTTCTGGAGACCATCAAAGCTGCCTTCCTGCAAACCTGGCTCCTTCCTTTCATTCTGGGGAAAGAAACTAATTTCTGTACTCTCCTCTTCTGACCTTTCACATACACATTTGAACATGGGGCTGGCTAAGCTTGAGAAGGCCTGGGACTTCTTCCCTTTCCCGTGCCTTCCCCTTAATCCATCCCTTGGATTGTGTGCTGATCCCTGGATGGAGATCTTCAGGCAAAATTGCCACTTCCAGGTACAGGACGCCTGGAATTGCACAATGCTCTGACCCCTGAATTCGTCAGCCGCAGTTTAGTTTAGCTTAGCATGTTGTGCAAACCCAGCACCTAGGATCAGTTGATGGTCCAGTGTGCATAAAGGTAGCCATGTGTAAGCGTGTCAAGCAAACAGGTACAATGTTGTGTGAACCACGTAGACTAAATTACCCCCATATTTGAAGTCAGAATTCCTTTTCTGTTAGAGACAGAGGATCTGTTCTCACAAAATCCTTGTCCCTCCTTTTCATCTGGAGAGTGCTGACAAGGCTTCCTGACCTTACTAGCCCTTCCCAGGCCAGAGAGGCAGCAGGAGGCATGGCAGAGCTTGACCACTGCCATCGGTGTTCGGAGAGGGGTTCTGAGCTGCCAGGGCTGGGCAAGGCTTGCCTCTTTAGCTGCTGCTGAAGGCAAAGTAGGCTCACGGCTGGGTTTAGGTATCTCACACAAACCCTCCTTGGAACTCAGTTGAGCACATGGTGAAAACCAAGTCCATTGTTTAGAAGGTTCATTGCCAGAGACTGATGGGAATGCCAGTCCATCCCTGATTGGAAAAGGGGACTCATTTAGCTTTCACTTTCTTCTCTATCACAGTTCGCCAAAGGAGGTTTGAGCTGTGATAACCTGGTCTTCCAAGCCAGTCATTCCTCTGACATTTTAAACAAGCCTGTCTTCTTCCTTTGCTTCAGTTAAAGAACGTTATTTCTTTTGACACCAAACCTCCTTAAGTTCATGACAGATATACCAATACTGAACCAGACTGTTTTACCCCTCAGAGATGGTGATAATGGAGAGGAATGAGACATCAGGAGGGTTTTTTAAAATCTTGTAGTACACATCTCTGCCAACAACTACGCAATCTGGACATAAGCTGAACATGTAAAAGCCATCTTGGATATCCTTGCAAGCTCTCCAAACTCCAAGACAGCCAGCGGAGCAGAAAAGTGAAAGCTGAAACAGAAACTTGTTGGGGAGGGCTCCTACTCAGGGGGGCAAGCAGCCACATTTGCTCCCTTCCTTTCTCCCCACATTTAGTGCCCAGCAGTCCCCGAGGCCTCTCTTGGGGTCCTTCTTGTAGTTCTTTTCCTCCTAAGACACATCATACTTCTGCAAACCTCCCCCGTGCATCGCTAGCACATTTTGCCCACACAAAGGTTCCTATTTGGAGAATGGCTTGGCCGCTGCTCTCGTAGGCTGATAAATAACAAGAACAATTGCAGAACTGCTTGGTAACACGACAGTCTCTCTGTTTTGCAGGCGTTTCTGTTCGGATCTTGTCAACAGACAGTGAAGGAAGCCCCAACACACCCATTTTGCTTCATCAACAAGCCGAGCTGTTTGAGTGGGACTACTATGACCCAAGCTACAAAAAGAAAGTTCAGCTCCGTCATCCACTGCCTCCCATCTGCAGCAAGCAATACTGGCTGTAATACATGGGAGTCAGCAAGTTATCCTGTAGTCTCACCACACTCTGTGTGTGTGTGTGTGTGTGTGTGTGTGTGTGTGTGTGTGAATGAGTGAGAGATGTCCTCTGGATTTAACATGATGAACGATTTTAGTTGTGTCTTTCTCTCTCTCTGGCTTGTGCTCTGGCTACTGGAAGAAAATTCCTGTATTAGCTGAATGTCTCTTACATGGAATGAGGTTTTCACACACCCAGAAGCTTTACTTACATTTATCTTCACCCTTCATACGATATTTCTATGCCCAAATATGAACACTTTCAGCATCCCCGGTGTGTGGCTGCCCACTCCATTCATTACAATCCCTCTTCACAGTCCTTTCAAGCACAGGAACATTGCACTGACACTCAGCTAGACAGCGCTGAACAACACGTTTATGAAGAATGCCCACCCACCTAATCTCAGTGGCCCAAAGGGACTGAACACTCAACTTGGGATGGTCGCATGCTGAAAAAGACACAGGCCAACCTCACAGGCCCTCATCCTGCACATCAGCACAAGCCTTCTAAGCAAAGGTTGCAAGGGGAGAGACCTTGTGGGAAACAAACCTAGGCATAGCACGGGATGCCTGATTGATGTTCTGTGTTTATTAAAGATGCTGGACCTTTCCTTTTCCCTTTGGTTTCTTTTTAAGCTTGTATGAGAGCTAGAGCCATGTTGCTGCTAGAGGCCGAGCTGACGGCTATGGCCTTGCTGGGTTTGCACAAGATAGATGGCCACAAACTAGCTGTGTTGAAACAAAGGACGATGCATTAAGGATAATGCAATAGGTCGTATGAGCAAAACTTGCAATATGAGAATCCAGTGATCATTCCTGACAAACCTCCTAATTTCTCGAATTATCTAGGATGTTCTAGCATGGGGTTCTCCCAATACGTTGGCTAAATCAATACCATCTGGTGTAGCCTTTAGTCTCCTAGCAAATTCTGTGTAAAAGAAGGGGAAGGCATGTTGGGGCAGTCAATTTTAGGTTCAAAGGGAAGGACCACAATCTTAAAAAGCAGGCCAATAAATAACAAACAGTAATGATGTTAAAAAAAAATGCTGAACACATACATTGGAGGTGGTTCTACTATTATTTGAAAGTTGAACTGCAACTAAGCACCTGAACATCTGCAGAGAATTACCCTGATGTGCCTCTGCGCTATAAATAATTTCCAAGCAAACTAAACAAAAAACCCAGGAAAAACTGACAGCAACCTGAACAAAATCTTTGCACTTCATTTGAATTTTGGCAAGTTTTGTTGTCTCAAAAGGGCTCCTATCCCTGCAAGCATACGGATAGATAAAGTGAGCAAAAACATTGCATGGTAAAGGAAAACATACACAGCTCTGGCAAAGTGATGTGAAGATACTGGACTAAAAGGACCTGCTATCCAAAATGCTAGATGCTCACTTTAGCATCTAAATTGCAAAGATCATATTCTTCAATGACACTTCACTCTGAAGTATTCCCCACCCCCACCCCAGTTTCCTGGGAGTTTTCCAGAGGGACAGCTAGCTGTTTTCATTGACTAGGCTAAGCTATTGTTAGTTTATCCATGGCCTGTACAGCAAAATACATTGGTTCACAGTGGGCCAAGCCCAGACCAAACCATATGGTGTCCCAGCACGTGGTGTGAACTGAGCCGTAACTATCTGCCAGAACTGCAAGTATCCATATGGTACCCCCATCTACAAAGCTCACTGTAGGAGCGGCCCCTTACTTCACAAATGCTCCAGAGCTCCTTAACCATACTGTACCTTTTAGGCAAGGGGTGGACCCACTTTATTACCATTATTTCTGCAACCTGGATCTCACATCACTATGTTTGGGTTTGGCTTGGAAAGACAGGTAAACTGAGCCACTGTAAATCATGGTTTATGGCTGAGTGTATTGTATGAAATCAGCTTGTGTGGTTTAGATATGATAGTTCCACCGAGTCTTGACTGGAACATCCTTGGACCCAAAATATATCCTATACACCAGTTTTCCCGAGCGATGTTTCCACCCCCACGAATCAGAACCTAAACCGTAATTGGCTCACGGAGAAGATGACTCGAGCCCTTCTACCAAGAGTTCTGCAAAACGCCCTCTTTCCCACCCGAGGCCCAGGCAGCCAAACGATACTGCGGGCCTAGGGCAGCGCTGGAAGAAAAGGGGGAACTGGGCTGGATGGGGACTAGGTTCCCTATTCCTGCATTTACTTCAGTCTAGACATAATACTGATCCCGACAAATGTCAAATCTGATCGGCGTCTGACTTGGGATTACTGAGGGTTTTTAGCCAGTTGATGGCCAGAGAGGCAGCTTATTGTGCTGAAGAGGGAACGGCCGAGTAGTCCCACAGACTGGCCTCCTCGCTCAGGCAGCCCGACAGCCATGACACAGATGCCTGCCCAATGCAAAAGGAAACGGACGGGAGCCCCACTGAGGGGCAGAAAGGTCGGATGTAAATTGTAGAAATAAAACAATGAACCCAAATCTCACAGCGGACTCAGCCACCATGGGGCTTGTAAGCTTTCAGTGCTTATACCTTACCCTCACCTACGAACTCATTTGACTACAAGTCATGGTTAAGCCAGGGAGAACCCTGATGTATGCAAGCCACCTTAGTGAGGGAAAAGAGTTAGAAGACGGTCAGAGTGGGCTAGAGCTGCCTCTCATCATTTTCATGATTTGATTGCATTTGTTAGAAAAGGAAAACCCAGGCAAGCTTCGCTCCCTTCTTTAGGATTAGAAAGCTGGCTAACTCTTCTGCTTTGCAGCCACTTCCCTCTCTGTGGCGCTAGCCTCCGGAGCGGAAGGAAAAGGGATAAGAGCTCACATCAATGTTAGATTTCTTCAGAAAAATAACTTACACATACAAACAAAAACATAGAGCCATAACAGAGTTACTGAAATTATGATAATTGGTCTGTGGGTGGAATACATCCATGGACTGACAAAGGGTAAACACAAAAAGAAGAATTTAAATCAGAAGATAATAAGAGGGGCAGCCCCTACATCTTATTAATTGCACCCAGCTCCTGCTCCAGAACTGTGTTCTACAAGGTTCCAGCCTTTTCCAAGTACTCCAACATTAAAAAGAGGTTTTGTGTGAACACTATTAAGCTCGCTTAGTCACATCCTACATTTATGTTTTGTGACTCTGAGCTTTGGAGGGTACACGCCACTGGGAGCTTCTTCTATTCAAGCTCTCCCAGAACGAATTCAACTTCTCCACAAGTGGCCTTGTGAATCATACCTCAAGTCAGTAATAGGCCACATTATGAAAGTTAACTAAAGTTAGTTGATTGAGTTCAAGTTTGGTGGCCTTTAGAGGAATAAACCATACCTCTCGGCCTCAACTGATAGTGCAGCATGAAAAAAGAAGTACCTGAGTGGTCTTAGACAAAGCTCTCTTTTCAGACCTTCATCCACAAAAGCGAAAGAAGACCTCCTCCTCTACAAGGTTCATAAGGTCACTGAGTTTCACATAAGCACCAAGTAGCATAGACCTAATGCAGGCCAGGAGAAAGCAAGTCGGTGAAGCCTAGCACGGGGGTAGGAGGAAGAGGCTGGCACAGCAGAGAAATGCTTTCCCTTGAGACAGACACATCCTCTTTCTTGTGGCCGACGGAACACTACTTTAAGCAAAAATCACACAGATGCATCCTGCCCACAGAAAAGCGCCTTACATTTCCTCTGTTGGAGGCATTACTAGAGAAACTGCATGGCCTTCAAGGAACAGCACTAAAGCCTATTTTCATATTCCCCAGAGAGGCAGGAAGAGCTGAATGAGTTTAATCAGGAACAAAGGAACATTTAGGCCAACTTGAAGTTATGGGACTTTTTTATTTTTGTGGGTTTTTATTTATTTTTTTTTACAGGCTATTGTTGTACCCGTTGCTAAAGCTGCTGATTCTGCCATAAAACTAGAACAGAAATTTCCCAGAAGTCAATTCCCCTCCTCATTAACTGCCTTCCTACCTCCCAACCAAACCAGCCAACCACCGCCTTACATTTACAGCAGACCCCAGCTTACAGAGCCTGACACGCAGCTACATGAGTCTGACCAAGGAATGAAGAAGCCAGGAGTCCACTGACCATTAGAATTGCCCTGTACAACGCGGCCTGTTCTGGAGTTTGGTCCACTCTGGCTGCACTTTAACCATAGAGATCATCATCGTTGTCTTCACTGTAAACGTTGCCGCCGCCGCTGCCTCCTGTGCCCTGGCTTGGTCCAGCACCCCCTTGGTTACCCGATGGGAATCTGCCCGGAGAAGCAGAGGGGAAAAAGAAGGTAAGCGACCACAAGGACAACTCGACTGCAGGCCAGAGGGCGGGAGGCACAGCCCATGGCCTGGCACTTGGGGTTATGGGAAGCTGGGCTGCAACATCCGGAAAGGCAAAATGGACCGCCCCCCCCCGCTTGAGAGTAGCACCAAAGAGCCCCACACAGGGCAGGCAAGCCAATGCAGGAAAGGCATTTCTTCCTCCCAAGTAGGGTATTCTTGCTTATTTCCATACAACCCCCCATTCTGCTAACATCACCAGGAACCAGGGGTATCTCTGGATGCAATTAAGAGTTGTGGTTGCATTGAACTGCGAGATTATAAGAGGTCGAGAGAGCCAGCTGGGTGTGTTGGTTAAGCCGTTGGACTGGGACTGGGAAGACCCAGGCTTAGGTCCCCCCAGGAGGCTTTGGGCCAGGAAACCAACTTATTTCACTGAGCTGTTGTGGTAAAAACTGGAGGAGAAAGTGCCAGGTACATTGCCTGGAGACCATGCAAGATATAAATCCAAGAAGCAGATGAGCAGCTACTCTCTGCAATGCTTACAAGAGACCAGCCTCATCTGATTAAACTTTTGTTAAAATCATGGGTGCCCAGATAAGCATGTACATATTCTTGGCTTCACTATCCATCAAGACAATCCCTCCCCATAACTATCTGTAAACTGAGGGTGCTGGAAAGGAAGGAAGGAAGGGGCGGGAGATGCAAAGG